CTGCCGTCGACCAGGGGAGAGGGATAGATACCCCTGATGAATTATCATCAAAAATAATCCTGCGAACTAGACTTCCACATAAATAGTGCTTGTGGAACCGAAGAATCAACCATTATGGAGGATTTTTCCAGTCTAAATACGACCCCCTCCCCTTCAGCGACCGAATACGGACCCTACTGGGGAATCCCCAACGATGGTGCGCCACTACACAGCTAATCCCCAAGACCAAAGGTATAGACTGAATACACATTCGATAGCCTGCCCTGCTATTCTAAATCCAAGTTGAACGCGTGGCGAATCTCATGGTCAGACGGCTGTTAAACTCACAGGATTTTATTCCTCATTCACTCAACCTCAATCCATGAAAGCTGTGCGTATTTATATCGTTTAGAGCAATTATTGTAGTGGAAGCATATTTTTCGCCTTTCGAAGGTCCAAGGTCTGATTCTGTCTCAAATCTAAACCTTCGGATCAGGGGGATGGGGGAGGAGGGGGCTGGGCAACGGAGGAAGCCGAAGCTGCATGGGAAGTTGTCGTGCTCGAACCAATGGCACTGTACCAAGACTAGCCAAACTTTTCCCTTCTCACTACACTACATATAAAAACTTATAGGAATAATTCATAGCAAATTTCCCAAACCGAAAAATTCCAATCTAAAATACTCTTCAATCATACCTTTCCGAAACTGGCTTTCTGCCCTGTAAGCAGACGATAGAGCAAAAGTCCAACATGGAACACATCCTCGACCTTGCTCCTTACTCTGAAAACTTTCAACTCGTCTTTTTTTCCGCATTCTGAGTTTGCCTAGGCATTGAAAAACAGTAAGTAGTGTCTCTCACCCCGCTCCTTTGGACGATTTCACGCGATGAACAGAAGACGACACAATGGTTTTCGCGTTAAAATATCTGTCAAGAACGACAGACGTGAAATCCAAACAGCCATGTACTACTTCTCTGCAGTGCAAGAACATAATCGCCGAAGTGACACCTGAACGGGGATCTGTTCAGATGCTGTATGTACCTAATCACGATTTAATAACCTACTTCGGATAATCCCAGCCGCAATGTGTTCTTCAACGGGGAACGGTCCATGTTTTTGCAAAAAATCTTCAAG